TGCCCTCAATCTAAACCCACCCTAAAGTACTTCGGATATATAGTGCTGGTACGTTTTTCGTGACTCTTTTTCTTTTTCCCAACTATCCTTCTAGTATTAGTAGTAGTATTACCATGTACTTACAATAGTATTGATGTAGAATACATTAAAGAGTTGATGACAACTCAGGGCACGTCTTCGATCTGCGAACCCTTGATCTGCGGCATGTCTTTGACCTGCGACTGGTAATTTTGTAATCCCTTGAGCCTAGGAGCTGCAGTCAGAACCCACAGCGTGGCTTTGACCAATGAACCCTCAATACGTGGCACGTCTTTGACCTGCAAACTCAAAATGCCTATAAGCTGCTCCCATAGTGTGAGGGCAGTTGCTATGTTGGCGGAGGTTCCAGCTGACGCTGCTGAGGAGGATCTCACAGCCAATTGGGATGCTATAGTTGATTAGAATGTAGTTACAATTGTCTTCATGTCTCATAGGTTACTTGTACACCAAAATTTGATATTATTTATCTTTATGACCAAGAATAAGAGGAAAATACAGTACCCATGGAGCCAAACACGTAAGACCCACCAAACCCACTTAACCCGCCAAAATCCATACCCTTACCCACCAAAACCCGTACCCATGGCTGCAGGTACAGGTTTCCAGGGGTAGGGGTACGGGTATGGCCCTAAGTACCTGGAGGTTACCTGTGACAATCCCTAATAAATGTATACTTAAGAAAGGTTGTGTGATGGGTATTATATACCCTGCGGCTGCACACAGACCATGTGGTCATGTTTGCACTCCAAAGTGGAACCAACCTCTGAAAACAATCCCACAACAACAACTTCCACCATCAATGTCAGCCCACCCAGTGCCCACCTCCCCTTGAGGCATCACCTGATTATGACATCACCCACCCACCACATCGACACTCCAAGCCCCCTGTGAGCAGCGGCTCGCAGGGGGGCAATGGTCTCCGTTCTTGGCCACGACAACCAGCAGCTGGATGCCTAGTAATGAACGAACAGTGGAGGCAGACACAAGGCAACAATGATGGTGATGACACACATTGTCATCATCATCTAGGTCCTCTAAGTCCTCTGTGCCAATCCAGGTAAGCCTACATTAGTACTCCCCCCCATTCCCTTGTCTGACTCTGAATTCAGGTGCCATGTCGCTGTCAGCGACGTGGCAACCAAACGAGGAACAACCCATGTTGTCCTTCATCGTCATCGGACCAACAATGTACAACCTGACAAATGACAGAGCAAATGCAGGGGACCACGACTGGTCCTCGGCGTTGGTTGGGACTCATTGCCCTTCTTGGGGGTTGCACAACAACACTAGTAGGAGCAACTACCACCTGGAATCTATGTAATTGTAAATAAGCTATTATTAATGTAAAAATAGTTCTAAAAAGTACTGGGATTGTTTTTAGGCTTATCAGGTTTCCTAGTTTCCAGGAACTTGGAAACCAGAGGAAATCACCAAAAACCTGGAATCTATTTTCCTATCTTACTGATGCATGGAATCTGTGTACTAAGTTCTCCCCAAGCCAGGTGATAGCCACCCCATGCCAGGTGATAGCCAGCAAGGTACTAGTTACAACATTTGCAACAGTGAAGGGAGTGTACCCCCAGATTTCGCATGTAAATGCACTGTTGAGAGTTTGTAAAATTGCACTTTCGCTCACTTATGTTCCTTCGTGCAAAGACTTGCATGCATGACTGTGATATGAAAGTTTGTGGGTTCTGAATTGAAAGGTAGATACCATTGGATAAAAAAAAAGATTCAATAAAACATTGGAACTTGGAAAAACATACCTTATATAGTAGGAGGAGGAGGGGGGGAGGTCAGCCAAACCCATGAAAAAGAAATAGGGAGTGTTGGTACATTTTCCACATTCCGCCACCCCCCTGGTGCAATATTGCACCACCAAAGGGAGCCAATCATAAACGTTTAAACACCCAAGAAGCCACTATGCATTTTCACATAACCTGGCTTTGTGGCGGGTGTTGGTCTGGAGTCAAGAGAGAGTGCTAGTGCAGGTTGGAGTGATATGGGTTGGGGTGGCTTGTAGACAGGTGTCTACTAGGAATTTTCCGGATGAGTCTAAACCTCGGTTACAGACAGGTCTGCAAATGCGACAAAGGATGTCTATGATACAGATGTGTTGTTATGATACATTTAAAACCTGCCACCAAACGATGAGTCAGGATCAAGCCATACAACTTGCACGAACCTTCAATTCTTTGACACATCAACTTGTTCACTCTTATCGACCTCGTGCAATACCTCAGTCCAAATGACTACTTCCCACTGCCCTATAAGAATGGCTTCAGTAACTTGTGGGTCAAAAAGGGAAAAAAGAATCAACGCGATGGCAAGAAAAATGTTGTACATAAAACCTCAAAGTCGTCATTGAGGTATATAAGAAGTGTGAGGTGTGAGTACACTGTCAGATCTGAATTGTGGACATACAAAGGTGACGATTGGAGGTCATGGCATTTAGCGCAGAAGCTGGCCATGTCCCGTCAATCTGGAAGTGACATCAGTGCGAATACAGGAGAACAAATGTTGGCACACACGTGAGGCCTATACAGTGTCCCAGAGGCATAAAATCTGAAGCATGGATTGATCCCCTTGAGTGCACCTCCGTTGAACTATATGTGGTAAGGGGTCGACAATGCCATGGTCGAAAAGGGTATCAGTAAACTCTGTGTCTGCCAACAAGAGCAAGAATGGAAGCCAGCTGCGCTGAGGGATTAGATGAAGGAGGACCGCACAAGAATTGGATTCACAATCGGGCACCTTACATTTCACTACTTACAAAGTCAGATTTCGATAACACGTCCAATGTCATGACACCACTCCACTACAGTCCATCTTGAGTGGGCGGTAGTGGGCTTGCTTATGTAAAGCACCCCATCTTAGGTTTATGTAATAGGGGGACCTAATTCAAGAGGACTCAAATCTGTGAGCAAGGTTTCAGAATCATGACAACCTCACCCAACCCCCTAAATGCTGATTAAATTTACAAGTCAGAAAAAAAAGTCAAGCACCATGCATTATGCCTTTCTTCCAATGCTGCTCCAAAGCAATTGTACCCACCCCTGACCCACCTCCTGTGAGATGGCTTCCAGATCGTGGGGCAATCAAAGCTTCGGTTTTGGTGGTTCCTCCCGATGGCTTGGTGGGCAAAACAGGGATGAAATGCAGTGAGTTTGATGTTAAAAGTGATTCAATGCTCCATATGTAATTTTATCTTTTGACAGGGCATCACCACTCATCGTAGTTACAGAAATGATTCTGCGTCAGTACAGAATTTTTGGGGTAGTGCAAGTGGCGGAGTGCAATTCTGATATTATCATCGCTGACATAGTTTGCGTGCCAACAAAATATGCTAGAGGACAAGTTCAACCAGAGACCTGGTACCTGCCATCCAGGCATACATGGCAATACCCTGTTATTAATCAGATCATGCTCGCTTGAAGGTTGAGATTCAACACCATAGCATCATGCAGTCTGGAGATGATTACAAGCATTTCATGTACAAGATGGGAATAAGGGGGGGCCACCGTGTTTTCCTGGTGGCTCATTGGTTAATTGGCCCTTACAGCCTGAAAGACATGAAAGTTGCATTGAATATATCTGCAAATGTAGAGTATTGCAGAGAAGGCTGTAGACCCCATTAGAAATGGTATATAAATACAGACTTAGGTGTGAGATTGGCTAGTGTACCATTTCATTAGGGAGCGAGGCTCCTCTTACTGGATTTGAATGTCGGACCGTGGGTTGGCGCAGGCCAATTTTTTTTTTGGAAATGCTCCAGAACATAGTGCACAATTGGCTTCTACAAGTTCTAGAAGCGATTTGAAGCACTCCAACAGTACTAGTTTGCTCAAGAAAGGCTTTCTGCTGGAGCCATCCATTATCAATCAAATCAGACAACAATATGCGATCATTTGTTGACAACAAATTTTTTACTTTGATGGGGAATTCAAGACCCAGCTTGGACAAGTCACTACCATCTACAGTCTACTACCATCCTCCCAAAAATCCCTTTGGTCTGATCACTCTGAAAAGTTTAAAACCCAGGTTAATCAACAACACCCAATGATAATGATCATTCTTAATTACGTGCCAGGAGGCTGTACGGGTGATGCTCAACCTTGCAATATTGGCATTCAGCGACCATTCAAACTATCGATAAGAAGATTGTACCACAAGGATATCGGCAACGAGGTTCTTCAACATCTTGATCCTGGTTGGCCACTAACCAGTCTTGATACTTGCTTGCCCACCTTGCGTGATTGCAGTCCAAGATGAAGTGCTTATTGTGTGGTCCAAGGATGGAACATTTAATCCAAGTTTAATGGGCTATGTGACTCCATCAAGGTTGCGAGAAATGTAGGATTAAGATCCCGAACTTTGTCATGTTGAGGAGTATGATGAGGAACATGTTCAGGCGGAGGTGAAAGCTAGTAACCTTGGGCATGGGAAGCGTTGTGCCACTCAATTTCATGCCACTCAACTCCATGCCACTCAATTCTGTGCCATAGGTGACAACTGCATTCTTTCAAAATTTGAAATTTACCCCATCTAATAGGATGATAGCATTCTTAAAATGTATATAATGAGGTTAGATTTTTTTTTCTTCTCAATGTGTTTCCTGGGCAAATGTTAAGTGTATTTTTTTTTGATCATTTGCTATACTTTACATGGCTACATCAGGCTTATTATAAATGGTACTGCCAAGAAAATATTGTATTCATTTTTGAAGCAAATGGAAGCATTACATCTTAAATGTGACCAAGATATCTCTTTCATGTGCCACTACAGTCATCCACCTGCTAATGATACACCCAAAATGAGAAATTAACTTCAACAGATTTGAGCACAACATTTCTCTACAAAAACTACAAGAAAATCTCAGATAAATGCCCTTCTATGACCATACCAAATTTCAGAACATTTGACCCACATTTCACAGAGAAAAACTAAGATTATGGGTGTATCATTGAGGGGTGTGACTGTATTTGGCTATTTCTGAAAAACAGCCTATTTTGTATGCTCCACAGCTTTGCCAATTCTGCCTCAATTGCATCCAAATTATGTACAGTGGTAAATATGAGTTTGTACTACTTGTTACAACTTGTTTTGTAAAAATCGGCCTAGTATTGAGCAAGCTATTTGCTAGTCTAAAGTGTATCAAATGGGGGTGGTGTATCATTAAGGGGTGGATGAATATTTTATATGTAATCAGAATGTTACCATCACTTCAATGATGCTCAGATAATAAATTTTCTCAGCATGTGCATGACATCCACATCTTGCCTGCATGATGGGTACATTTTTTCTGTGGCTTTTCAATTTGCCTGCTGATTATATTGGGAGCATTTTATTTGATATGTCAATATACATAAGCCTAGCAGTCCCATGTTAATTGCATTTGTGTGTGCATATCTACTTTAGCATGGTAATACAACAAGCATGTGACCATAATGCACCCATTGGGCACATTGTGGTCACATAATAAATGAACAAATCAGCCACATATTCTTTTAATGGGCATATTTTATCTGTCACAAGGGGCAAGCAGGGTTCATCACCTGGTAAAGAGGTAATAAAAAGCAGATAATTATGTTAAATAGTTGATTCCACATTAGTGTCAAAAATGTTCATATAAAAAAGATTCATTATTTCAACTTTACAGCCACAAAAAGGTGATATCATAATATTTATTGGTGGTTTATTTGAGAGATAATTTTAATTCTTTGTTCCTGTTCCCTTAGGCCAGAAAGATCTTTCAATGACATTAAATAGTTGCCTCATCATTGTTGCCAAAGTAAAACAGGGTCTTTCTTTATCTTCCTTCCCTGGCAAAAATTTCTTTTGTTTTTCAGTCATGCCTGCACCAATAAACCACCAATAAATATTTTACATACATGATATCACCTTTTTGTGGCTGCAAAGTTGAAATAATGATGAATCTTTTTTATATGCACATTTTTGATACTAACATGGAATCAGCTATTTAACATAATTATCTGCCTTTTATTACCTCTTTACCAGGCGACAAAACCTGTTTGCCCCTTGTGTGTGATCAGGAATCCCATGATATTTGCATTTTGGAGCTTACCTGAATTTAATTTTAAATCTGCACGCACAGTAGGCATATAGGAAGAATATGGGAGAGCATTAATGCCTCCAATCAACATATGCTTACTCATGTGCCTATTAGCCAAATAGCCAATTCTCCCCTGTGTGAATGGAATGATTCCTGTGAACCACCCCAATCCAACGACTCTTGTAGGCCACCCAGCCCTCTGACACCTGCATTAGCCGCCGGTGCCCCTGGATCTTGGGGTGGACGTAACACGATGTAAAAGTAGGAGTAGAACATGACATAGAGCACCAGAACTCTAAAGGTGTTGAGGCCAAGGCATACAAGTCCCAAGGTCAGCAGTGATATTTGACAACTGTCCTTCTTGCAAAAGGCAATGGCTGATCCTTCAACGACTTTGACATAAATGACTGAGATTGCACCACATAATATAACCACTGCACTGTTGAAACTGATGAATGGACAGAGAAACAGTACAAGTTGAGTAGTGCTCATAAGGTGGCCTGCTCTCTTGTGAGCATGTGAGCATGCCACAAGAGGAATCTACACCACCTGGAGGTCCTGACAGTCTAGAGCGTTCTCAGATAAACTGAATGGGGTCTTCGAAGGGGACTTACACATCACCATCAACGAATGCACACCCAGTCTATTGCTACAGCCTTGCCAATGGCCCCGAAAGTGGACTGAAAAGTATTGGCAGCCACCAAGGCCGGAGCAAAGAAGCAGAAGCTGAAGAAGGCAAGGGCCTGGAACGTTTGATAATTTTCTTGATTGAGCTGGATGGCAAGGAGTAGTGCACCTGCAAGGCTATGGAATGACAGAGATTTAGCTGAGTGATTAGTGTCAATAATTGAAAATTGAATGGACATACTGGATTGCACAAAAGGTGATGGCCTTTACCACTTTATGTTTTTTTCTTGTCGTGTGGAAGTGTGCCTCCCATAAGGTTGAGGAACAGATCATTGTCGGCTGCAGTTTCTACAGGAGTGGCATCAATGAGAGTTTTGAGGTCACTATATTCAACTTCAACAGCTATCAGCAAGAATAAAAATCCCATGAGCGTCATGGAGAGGGACGAAGAGTTGACAGAGAGGGATAGGGGAGATTGTCCATGTAGTGATGACACGTGACCACGTCAGCCACTTGTCATATTGTTGGATTGCCACCTTATGAGTGGAGTGGAGTTGCACAGAGTGGAGTGGCACAGAATTGGGTGGAACAGAGTTGAGTGGCATGGAGTTGGTATATGACAATTAATTATTCTGATTAATGCTGACTGGTAATAATCAATTGTTCTTATTGATGCTAACTGCTGACTTCTGACTGCTAACTGCTAATAATTCTTTGTTCATAGCATGGAATTGAGTGGCACAGTGTTGAGTGGCACAGAATTGGGTGGAACAGAGTTGAGTGGCATGGAGTTGAGTAGACTGACTGCTGATTGATAATCAATTGTTCTTACCAATACTGACTGCTAACTGCTAACTGGTAACACTAATAATTAATTGTTCTTATTAATGCTAACTGCTACCCACTAAGAATTGATTGGTTTCATTGATGCTAATTGTCACAGTATGACTAGTTATCCTGATCAGATATACAACTTATCCTGGCTGAAGTGCTTGTGAAGAACCATCCTAAGAAGGAACCTCTCATGCACCTGAGGGTTTGGTGAAGGTGCAGAGGGGGTTGCATCCAGGGATAACTTGCAGATGGACAAGGATTTTGGAGTTGAGTATGGCACTGGAGTTGGGTGCAGTGCTGGAGTTTGGTATGGTGCTGGAGCTGCATATTTTGCAATTGAGTGGCATGAAGTTGAGTGGCACAGAATTGAGTGGCGTGGAGTTGAGTGGCACATAGTTGAGTGGCACAGAATTGAGTGGCACACTGAATGCTGACTGCTGATAATTGATTGTTCTTATTGATGCTAACTGCTGAATGCTGAAGGCTAACTACAAATAGTCAATTGTTCTTATTAATGCCAACTGCTGACTGCTAACTGGGAGCCCCTAATAATTAATTGGTCTCATTTATGTTATCTGTGACAGTATGACTGGTTATCTTGATCAGATATACAAAACTGATCCTGACAGAATTTCCAACCAATTGTAATGCTAACAGGTAAGTAAATTATGCACCAGTACAAATCATTATTAGTAATGCTGACTGATAATTAGTTGTTTCTACCAATGCTTACTCCTTACTGCTAACCACTAATAATTAATTGGTCTCGTTGATGCTAACTGCCGTGACAGTATGATTAGTTATTCTGATCAGATACAAAACTGAATCTGACATAAGCAATTATCTTGCTAATGACTGCTGCCAATCCTATATATAAATGTACAACGCTTACTAAGAATTATGTAATAGATCATGTAAGCAACATTCTTGAGTGTGTCGGTAACAAATAACCCTCATTATCAACAAACAAAGGGCAGAAACACAAGGTAGCCACATGTTAAATTTCCTCCACCACAACACATTGCATTGGTGTTTCCTGCCCCCATCTTACCTTCCAACCATTCAATTTCGCTTTTTTGCACCATTTTTTTTCACCCACCACATCTGTGTGGGGGTCTTTGTCAGTGTATTTTCGCTTTTTTTGAATCATTTTAGGCTCATTTTACACCATATCTTCTTTTTTGACCAGTTCTATCTATCAATCCAGATCTTTTGACTTTTCTCCCTGACTTGGATTTTCCAATCAGGGTATACTTGGGGTGGGTGAGGATTCTGCTCCTGCTCCTGTTGTGAGTTGGGTTTTGGGGAGAATTAGAAGACCAAGGTGAAGCCCAGTGAAGTCCTACCTCCCTGGCCTCTCTTTACGAGTGTCTGCCGGTTGCTATCAAGACTTAGTCTTGGACCACTCTCTGGGCACAGTGTGTAGGGAGATTGGTGGGCGGGTTTACAGTTGCCCATCCTTCCTTTTTGGAAGTTGCTCCATTATCAACTACCATTGTTCACACCGATTTTGCTTTTTCTCTGCCTTTGCCTGATTGAATGTCAGGACCTTGAGACTGTCCTCATCCTTAAACCCCAGCATATTTGATTTCTCAAGATGTATGTATCTAATTGATGAGATTTTTCAGTCTTGAAACTGATATAACTAAAATTGAAGGTCTGAAACTCCTCTGAATACTCCTCGACGAGTTCGAATTGCTGCACAGAGTGCAGAACGTGACAATCGCACATTGGATAGCCCCCAGCATCGTCGTGCTCCTCATGGTGTGCACTCCCCAGAGCATGTTGCTCTTATTGATTTGAGAATACCTCAGCATGCCCCAGATCCTGCTCCTGGAAATGATCCTTTTTTAGCTGCTCCTGCTCCTGCTCCTGCTTCTGCTCCTGCTCCTGCTCCTGCTCCTGCTCTTGCTCCTGCTCCTGCTCCTGCTCAACAACTTGCTGCTATTCCACCTGTTTCTGCTCTGAATAATTTAGAATTACCTCTGCATGCCCCACACCCTGCTCCTGCTCCTGTTGTATACAATGGACAGCAATATAATCATCTACCAGCTGCTCTAGCTCAGCAGCTTGCTGCACTTCCACCTATTCCTGTTCAGATAGGTCGAGGTCAAGGCCATGGCCGTGGTCATGGACATCAGGTTCATCCACATCCTAATGTAGTCCATCCACCACCAGCTCAGCACAATGCACCTGCACCTGCTGCCATGGTATGTTGATTTGATATATCTCAGTGTTTGTCACAGTTTAATTCTTTTTCCAGTATCCCAATCTACCTGCACATCTTCAAGTTGCTTACCAGGCTCTGGCCCCTCCTCATCCTAATTTGGTATGTTGATATGATATATTTGGGTGTTTCTTACAGAGTTTAATATATATTTTCTGCAGTTTCACAATTTACCTGCATACCAGGGAAAGGAAGAGCATGTTGATTCAGATCCTCCTCCTGAAGAACCCCCTCTACCTGCTCCTGCTCCTGGAATGACTTTACCTCAACCTGTTCCTCCACCCCCAGTCCCATTTGCACCAAATCCTCTTCCTATGCCACCACCTGCAGCAGTTGCTCAAATTCCTGAAGCATGAAGGCCCTTTAGTCCTACCTGGCAGGTACATGATTTAGGGCATATGAATGTGGTCTGCTCTCAATGTGGTGCATTTCATTGGATGGATGAGAAGCTATCTTCTTCACGCCAAAATAATATAAAGTTTGGCATGTGCTGCTTTAGTGGAAAGATTGATCTTCCAAAATTGCATGAGCCTCCTCCAGAGCTTCTTGAATTGCTTACTGGAACTGATGATATTGCAAAGAATTTTCGTAAAGACATTCGTCACTACAATAATGCTTTGGCCATGACATCTCTGGGATGCAAAACAGATGATTCTGTCAATCAGGGTGGAGGGCCATATGTGTTCAAAATTCATGGCAAACTTACTCATCAGGCAGGATCATTGCACCCTGCCCCCAATGCACATCCCACATATGCTCAGCTATATATCTATGATCCTGCAGAGGCTCTCGACTACCGTATGGGACATAGGGCCAACAACACTCTTCATCGTGAAACAATGCAGAAGCTTCAGGATATGCTGTGGCGTAAACATCCAGGAGTTCAAATGTATCAGCAGGCATATGAGCTCACACATGACATGGGGCAAAATGAAGAGTGTAATATTGCTCTTCGATTTGACAAATCCTGTGATCGTCGTCGCTACAATCTTCCAACTGCCACATCAAATGAGATTGCTGTAATTCTTCCTGGCAGTGAGGAACAGCCACAGGGGGACAGAGATATCATTTTGTGAAGAAAGGATGGAGCATTTGTCCAGATTGATCAAAGGCATCCCTTCTATGTTTCACTCCACTATGTTCTTCTCTTCCCAACAGGCCAGCTGGGATGGCATCCACATATTGAATACAGAGGTGGAGAGATGGTGCCAGATGCAGAAGAGCTTGATCCAGATGCAGGAGAGAACAATGAAGGCCAGGTTCAGCCCACAAAGAAGAGAAAGTATATCACTCAAACAGAATACTTTCGCTACCGCCTTCATCCCCGCCATGATGAATCACCCCATATTTTTATGGCTGGCAAGCTTTTTCAGGAGTATATTGTTGATGCATGGGCACTCTGTGAACAGGCACGTTTGCTGTACATCCAGTTCCACCAAAGAGAATTACGGTCAGAGTTATATCAGGGTGTCGTTGATGCTCTGGCATCAGATGCAACAGCAAATGAAATAGGGCAGCGCACCATTCTTCCTTCCACATTTGTTGGAGGTACACGCTATATGATCCAAAACTGCCAGGATGCTCTTGCAATCAATCGTCACTTTCATGGTGCTGATCTCTTCATCACCATCACTGCAAATCCCAATTGGCCAGAGGTTACTCAGGAACTGCTTCCTGGACAAACTGCTGCTGATTGTCCTGATTTGGTTGTTCGTGTCTTCCATGCAAAAGTTACTCAGCTGCTCAAGGATCTGGAAAAGCATGGTGTTATGGGGCGCACAGTTGCCAGAGTGTGGACAATAGAATTTCAAAAGCGTGGTCTCCCTCATATGCATCTCATCCTCTTTCTAGATCCTGCACACAAGCTTCAAACTCCTGAGGACATTGACTCACTCATTTCTGCTGAGTTTCCAAATGAGCAGGAACAGCCTGAGCTCTATGAATTAGTCAAAAAATTCATGGTTCACAATCCATGTGGCACCCAGAATCCTCAGTCACCTTGCATGGATGGAAACAAGTGCTCTAAAAGCTTTCCAAAGCCATTCCGAGATCAGACCACTGTCAGTGATGACTCTTATACTAACCTTCGGAGACGAAATGATGGCAAGCAACATATAGTCAATGGAAAAGAGGTTGACAATCGCTGGGTGGTACCCCATTCCCCATGGCTCATCTGGAAATATCACTGTCACATCAATGTTGAGTGCATCTCCTCAGTCAAAGCCATCAAGTACATCTACAAATATGTGTACAAAGGCCATGATCGCACAACTATGGAGTTTAGAACATCTCAGGATGAGGTCAAACAATATCTTGATGCTCGCTATGTGTCTGCCTGTGAAGCTCTCTGGAGACTCTACCATTTCCATATGCATGAGGAGCTTCCAAGTGTTGTTCGACTGCAAGTCCATCTTCCAAACCAACAGTTGATCTCCTGGGATGAGCAGCATGCTCCAGATCTTCAGCAAGTTGTTGCTCAGGCAGCTGAGAGGAACACCACTTTGACTGCCTATTTCAGGGCAAATGAACAAATTCCAGAGGCACACAATTATCTCTACCAGGACTTTCCTATGCACTTTCAAGTTGTTTGGATCAACAGAGGAAACAGAAGGTGGAAAATTCAGGAGCGAAAGGTTGCCATTGGTCAAATGTTCTATGTTCATCCAGCCTCAGGGGAACGGTTCTATCTCCACACTCTTCTCACAGCTGTAAAGGGGGCTACATCATGTGAGAATTTGCGAACAGTAAATGGCATCACTCATGCAACATTTCGAGAGGCATGTATTGCACTTGGTCTGCTGGCTGATGACAATGAGTGGAGGATATGTCTTCAGGATGCAGGAGCTATGCAGAGTGGGCATCAATTGCGCAATTTATTTGTCACAATCCTTCGTGACTGTAGTCCCTCTGATCCTGCTACTTTATGGTTGCAATTTCGGACACAGATCTGTGATGACCTTCGTTGGGCCCTTCAACAAAAAAACATCCGCCAAAATCCAACAGAAGAGGATGTCTTTGACTATGGTTTATATCTCATTGACAAACTTCTCTGCAGCTCCAATGCAAATAAGGGACTGGAGCACTGGCCAACAATGCCTCAGCCTCAGCAAAATTGGGCTCTTCATGTTGGAAATCACCTGATCATGGAACAGCTTGATTATGATGCAGAAGAGCAAACACGTCTTGCCAATGAATGGATTCCAAAGCTAAATGAGGAGCAGCGGAAAGCCTTTGATGAAATAGTTGAAGCAGTCAATACCAAGTCAGGACAGATCTTTTTCCTTCATGGTCCTGGGGGCACTGGGAAGACCTTCATTTACAACACTCTCTGCTACTTCCTGTGTGGTCAACATAAAATCATTCTTTGTGTTGCATCTTCAGGGATTGCTGCTATTCTTATCATTGGTGGCCGCACCTCTCACTCATGCTTCAAAATTCCCATCATCATTGATGAGACTTCTACCTGTCAATTCAGCAAGAACTCTCTTCTGGCAGAGCTCATCAGATTGGCAGATCTTATCATATGGGATGAGGCTCCAATGCAGCATCAACACATCCATGAGGCTGTTGATCGCATGCTCCGTGATGTGAGGGACTGTGATAGGCCATTTGGAGGTCTGTCTGTTGTCTTTGGGGGAGACTTCCAACAGATCCTTCCAGTCATTGTCAGAGGGTCACGTGCTCAGATTGTCAATGCATGCATGTAGCGGTCCACTCTTTGGCAGTCTATGAAGGTGCTTCGTCTGACTAAAAACATGCGACTCAATGTTGATGATGCACAGGAGAGAGATTTTGCACAGTGGCAGATTGACATTGGGCATGGCCGACATACAAATGAGTCAGATGATGTCTCTTTGCCAGAATCATTCAAATGTGCAGAAAACACAGTCCAGTCTCTGATTGACACTATCTATCCTGGAATTGGTCTATTGCCTCATCCTGAAGATCACTATTTTTCTGAATGCACTATTCTCTCCAGTCGCAATGATGATGTTGATGAGCTTAACCATGCTATCCTCAACCGCTTTCCAGGTGAACTTCAAGTGTTCCAAAGTGCAGACTCAATTAAAGATAATGAGGGGCATGGAGAAGAGGGTATTCTAATGTACCCAGTGGAATAGATTAACAGCATCAACTGCTCTGGGTTACCTCTTGCGAAACTTGCTCTGAA